ATTTATATATTTATTAGCTATCAACATAGACTCGGGTCAATAATAATAATAATACGGTTTTATTTTATTTTGAGTAGAAATGTCATATGTCTGTAGCAAGAATAACAAGCAGTGGAAGTTTAGTTCTTGTTTTATAACCCACTAACTGTCCTGGCAAACTTCACACCCTCTCATATATAAATGTCGGCTTAAAATAATTATTCATTCATGATGCTGAAGTTTTATTGGCATTGATTTATGAAAACAAATTAAAATGACTCGCGTTCAACTGCAATGACTGAAAATAGTTCTGTTTCATATTTTTTTCTTTAGTTTTCTTGATGTTTTCATATTAAATATCATTAAAATTTGTTCAGTCATCCTGGAATTATAAATAACATAACACTACTGACTTTATTTTATATTTATAGGCATTTTGTAGCAAAGAAATTGTGAAAAACTAGTAATTTATTGTAGATATTCAATTAATTTTGTGTTTTTTTAGCAAACACTGCAATAAAATAATAAAAAATTAGCCAAACTAATCGATAATTGCTGAAGAGAAGCTTGTTTAATTATTTCCTATTATTTATTATCATTATTATTGTTATTATCAGTGGCCTTAGTCATAAAGTAAACAAAACACTTCAAGGTACCAATTAAAACCTAATATCCACTGCAATTGATTCCAAAATGCAAATTTTGTCCTAAAATATTTCTCGCATGATTAATCCGAAAAACATCTTCCGCTCGTTATTAATTTTAATAAATAATAAATAACGCTATGCCATAGAATTATGGACATTTATTTATTTGCATATATACGAAACGTGAGCTTTCATCTCGTCCGCCGCTCATTACACAAGCCCCGTAATAGCATTATTAGCAATGACATTTCTGCATTTCGATTCGTCTACCTCTGCCTCTACCAGCAATGAAAGTGTACAAACTCGTATGACTCGCAAGTGTGTCTAATTCAAAGTCACATCGCGAGGTGCTACACACACACTCACACGGAGACATTATAGTGTGATCGCATAAAATTTAAATACCAATTATGCCGCTCGACAAGAATTGACTCTAGGCATTTCGCTGCCACCTTAATTACCGGCATTTCTATACGCACGCCGCACGCGAAACGAAACCCGATCATTAGGCGTGATTACAAGCCGGCGGCGATCGCGCGCGACTACAATGCGTTTCGTCTTTTTGCCGTGTGTATCTAATTATTATCAGAAATATATGCTCGGGTGTTTATCCCGGATTGACAAGCGCGATTGAATTGTCGGCGGTGTCGTTAGGCAAGCATTGTGACTTAATGAATCCGATGATGAATGTGAAGCAGAAAAATATTAGGTATGCCCACACGCGTTATAAATTGTGTAGTCAGTAGTCGAACATACACACCTGGTGTGAGCGAGTAAATAAGTAAATAAATGTTTGTAGGAGGTCACAATATCGCAGTATTTATTGATAATGGTATTAACGATCTCGGTGCGTATGTGCAAAAGACTGTGTTTATGTATACGAGTAATTTGTTTGAAGATGCTGAGATCGTAGGCATACGAAATGCGCCGGCGGGTAGAAAATTTCGAATATTAAACGTGTATTATTAGTGGATTTATTCATTCGAGGATTAGAATGGAGGTCTTAATTCTAAAGGTGATTCATGGTTTTATAGAGATATTCACAAAATATTAAAAAACTTGTTTAGAATTTAGTAATAAATAATATCTATTATGAATTATTTTTGTTTAGTTGTTCTTAGAAGTACCAGTAAGTGGAAAAACGTGAGTGCGTTTTATCTGATAAAGGTTTTTAAACTCAAAAGTCAATAAAAACTTAAAGTTCACAGAGTTAATATTGAATTAGGTATAAAAAGAATGCTCAGAACTAATTTTGTCTTAGAGTATGGCAATTATATGAAATATCTCCAATGTTTCGTTAATTAATAATTTTTAACTTTTGATAATTACGATGTTGGAAGCATAGATAATCCTAAATTAATTATTTTCGCTGAATTTTCTGTAATTTTCCTAGTTTTTTTGTTAAATTATGTGTAAATAACAATATTTTCTATATTTTGGCGCTGCTCATCTAATTTTACCACCAAAAATACGCAAATCAAAAGTTAGTATCCCAATTAGTTTTGATGTTACAACAATATTTGTTTTTACAAATTAAAAAACTTCTGGTTTTCTAAAATTGGTAACTCATTGCTTATTAAATCACCTTTTCAGTGTAACTTTAATCAATTATTTCCGTTTTGAAATAACTACTTTATGATGCAAAATCATCCAATTTTCTTCGCATAAATAGTAACAAAAATTAACGATTTGCCCACTGCATCGTGCGTATGTTCTATATGTTCATCACACTTGCGAGTACTCATTGACGTAAACTATCACCACCATCTTTCAGTTAATTAAATTTGTGAGAATTTTGTACTCGCTTTGATCCTACAAAGCTTTTACGATGTTAAACAATTAGAAACGTAAAATTCATGGTTATGCAATAAATTTGCAAAATTACAACTATGTATTTTATTTTAAATAAGCAAATAGCAAACATATAACACATTTCAATAAGTTTTATCGAAAACATGCAGAGCAACAACAGCCTGAAACATTTCAAATGCTCGGATACTTTATTTTAAGATACAAATTATCATAAAACTAATTTTGGATAAGTTTAAGTACAAAACTCGCCGTTAAAATGTATGATGTAAGTATGTACATTGAAAAAGTGTCGCTTCAAAGAGAAAATATACTTGTGTAGTTGTTTGTAGGTTCAATAAAAGGAAGTGTTTATTATTAAATTCTTGTGCGGATGCAATAATTTATGTTTATAAATCGGTACTTAATATTTGTCAAAATAATAATTAATTATCCGATTTAATTTCCTGTTTTTCATTCCATTGGCAATAATTTGACCTCGAAATGATTTCGAAAGTGAAAATAACACCCTGTGTTGTATTGCTGCTCCCAGGTAGTCGTCGGGCTGCTCCCAACTTTGTTGGTGTCCAGAACACGAAAGCGCATTCATCGCAAAAAGAGAGCACATAAAAACAGCGAACGCGCGACAACGGCTGGCTAAATCCTTATAGGGAATCGATTTAATTTAACCTTGACTCACTTAGGTATAAAAGTTTATTATTGCTCGCACACCGTAGCCGCCGATGCACACATGCTTCGTAATCGCAACTACAAAACGCTTGCGCCCGTTCGTTATCAACTCCACACGGCGTGTCACTATAATCCTTTTCAAATTTGCGAAAAACGATAAAAAGCAACATTTATTTACGTATATATTCGTTTAAATTTGATTTGTTTGCATTTCTGCACAAGTATAGCTTTCACAACGCGTTGATGGTTTCAATTAGTGAATAGTTTTCGATTCGGTTCTGCGCTACTTTCAGAGAAGACTTGCGTTACAATAATGGTAAACTTAAACTTAAACTAGCTCAATAAAAAGCACCAATATAAATGATGGCTAATGTACATCATTAAATAGGACAAACTGTAGGTGTGGATAAAAAGCGGACGCGCGGTTTTGTCTGTTTCGGCAAAGCGCGCAAAGTTCTACCTAGTGTGTTGTCTGTGTTGTGTTGGATTTTGTGTGTGCTTCTGCCTGTTCTGCCTCCTTCGTGTCGGATATTTGTCTGCTTTGAGTCACGGCAGATTTATCTCGGCGAAACACCAACCGGGCCGGGCAATAAAAACTTTTTTTATATACATATTCAAATTTCGCGCAAGATGGAGACCCGCTGGATGTGTTGCTATGTTTCGTTTGGATAAACAAGCTCATGAATGGCACACACAGAGAGGAAAGACTGCAAAGACAGAAGATTTATGCATAACAACTTTGTACGCGCGAATAAACTTTCAGCCTCATTACTCTAACTTTATAAGCGAGCGAACTAATTAATGAGCTTGCATGTTGAATGCACTATTCATAGTCAATCAAAATATTTATTACTAGATACAATATTCTCGTTGTTTTCATGGTTGTATTTGTTTTGCAAATATTTTTGTATCATATTTTGAGATATAACTTTAGAATTTTGAAGTGTTTTGATGATGAATGCGCATGCGCAGGAATATTTTTTATGTCACGACTAATCTTAGGTCTCAAATAATGTTCTATCCAAATTTCTGGGATATTAAATAACAAAGTTATGAGAAAATTTACAATTTTCACGCATAATTTCCTAACTTTTAGCTGTTTTCTTTAAATTATAGATTAATTATTTATTTTTAAAATACCACAGTCAATAGTTCTTGTTTATATCAACTCGTTAAAATCAAAATGTAGTTTGTATCTCTTTTTGCTTCGGAGTTTTAACGACTTTTATCTAGTTTGACGCAATATTTTAATCATACTATCTCAAACTTTGCAAAAACAATATTTTGAACTAATATTTCATCTGATAGAATCTTTCAATCTATTTTGTGTTGTTTTAATTACCGAGTTATAAACAATTGTGTTTTTAAATTAATTTTTCCCTTTTTTCCTTTTAATTATTACTAAATATCGAAACTATAAATTAATTTTAATGCGTAAATAGTTAGTTTTACTTGGACACAACTGATAGAACATTTTACCATCGAATTTGAAACGATTTTATCAAATGTGGGCGCCATAAAAGCGTAAGCGCCTCGCGTAAATTGCGCTGCCACTTGAAGCGCGCCTGTTGAGTGTGAATGCGCTTGGCAGGCAGCGGCAGGCATGAGACGGGATAGTGTAACGTAGCCGTAATTGAATTTTTATGTTGCTTAATTAAGAACCCTACTATTTCACCATTAAGAAAACAATGCATTTATTAAGACAATGAATGAAAGATGAGTGTTGGGTGCACATCTATCCACCCGACCAATATTATAAAATTTTATAAATATTTTACAGATATATAAATTAGAAAATTAATAAATTAATTAATTTGAATCATGCATCCGCATGCAGATATATTAGGTAAATGTAGGAGTTGAGTGGCAGTGGCAGTTAGGTAAACAAGCATTTACCTCGCGTTCGGACACCTGCCGCCGGTAGGATTCACCACGACGCGCCTGAACGAAACTTTGCCGAGCGGCGTGCCAAGACGCCGCCGCCGCTGCCCTGGCGGTGCCTGCTGCCCTTGCTGCCCTCCGGGTGCCTTTGGTGGTGCGCGAAAGTCGCGAAAACTTAGTCGCGCGTATAATGCGGGCGGTAAACGTTCGTCGCGCGCGCTCACGTCGGACTCATTGATGCGGCACACCGTGTTGATCGTGTTGTAATCCTTGTCGTGGATAATATTCATCGCATAGAACGGCGTGCGCTCGTGGAATAGATGCTGCCGGAGCGCCGCGCCAAACTCAAACATACCCACACCGCGCGGATATTTCGCTTATATACGAGCTATTTTTAGACCCTGATGTAACGCGCACGGCATACGATTGGCGGTGGCTGATCTCAGCCGGCGCGCAGGTTGGTTGGAGCGGTCGGAGCGTGTTTTTTGCACGCTCCCGCCAGCGGCGCGCGCGATCACGATTTTATTTCGCACTTTTCGCGCCGCGCGGAACTTTTGCATTGATTTCTGCGCACCGCCGCACTATTATTAATAAATAATCGCTTCATTATAATTCGCGCATTAAAAAGTCCGGCTGTAATTTTTGCGCCAAATTTTTATCGCTTTCTTTATCGAGACTTGATGTAGAATTAGATTTTTCAATGCGGCGAAATTAATTTGATGTAATTTTAGTTAGTCTGTTGAAGTTTATGTCATCGAAATTTATTGTTTGGGGCCAACGTGCATTCCGCGTTATAGTTATAGTTGCATTTCAAAGCATCCATTTATAAATTTTATGTGTATTCCGAAAGTTCCGTACGCACCCGATGATGTATTTTCGTTTGTGAGAACTGAGCAAACAACTTGTAAATCCGATCACATATTTTGCATTTATTTTTAGTTCAAACTACAACTTCCTCTTGCACATTTGCAAATAGAGTCATAAGTTAAAGTTAAAAACATGGAGATTGATTCGATTGATAATCAACAAATACACATCATAAATGTTTATGTTTCTCCGTTATTTAAAACTTTAAAACTAAAGCTTTACGATTGCGACGACATCTGTGTGTGATAGCTTTGAACTAAAGTTGTGCAACTTGAAAACTTGTCTACTAGATGGAGCAGTAGTGCATGCAAAATGCAAGCGAGGGTACACGATCGTAAGTTGATGCACCCAATGCGCCCCCTAACGAGAACGCCGCTTATTGCGTGAAGTGTCGTTCATCTTGCGAGTGCCTGTTGTTTCGTTTCGAATTTGATTGTCTAACAAACGACGTAGCAACGGGAAATAATCCAATTGGCAGTGCTAGTTGGTGTGTAAAAGTAGTCGTAACTGCAAGTGCTAGTCGAAGTCGCGCTAACGTTACCCTTCCGTTGCAACCGTATCTTGAAGGTTAAGCAACGCGGCGGATGCATCTAATGACGCACAACGATGCATCGAGTTTGCTATCGTTTCTAATGTTTTCCAATTAAATAAACCTTGTCTGCGAGGCCTAAATCAATATGGAGAGCACGAAGGCAACGCCGCGAGTAACCCGCACCAGAGGTAAAGCAACATTGGCCGAGGATACTCCGGCTGCTAATACCGACGCAGAAATGGCGCCAAATCTAAACGGTAACAAAGATGGTGGAGTTGATACAGAAAATGCTACTACTGTGCCAGTTAAAGAAGCAGAGGCGGCGAAAGAAAGCGGCCGCGTTACGCGCAAACGTAAACTTACGGAAGTAAAGACTGATGAGGAGGTTATCAAGGAGGCAAAAGAGAGTGCTGTTGATAATAAAGCAGACACCAAGGAGGACTCGACAAATAATGATGAAGCAGTGACTCCAGAAGAAAGCAACAACACAAATCAAGCAGAAGAGGTACCTGTTGCTATGGATACAATTGAGCCAAGCAAACCTGCAGGTAATATATCTAGTAAAAATAAAGATATGTGATTAAAATAATTAAATTAAATGTTTTGTTTTTATTAGAAGTCATCACGCCCGTTGTAGAGCAGCCAGTAGTTGAATCAATGAGCAATGATTTTATATCCATAAGTACGGGGAGTGAAACTTATGGCAAGGGGAAGCGAGCACGGGTACCCAACAAACGTTATAGCGATATTATACGACCAATTACACGTACACCCAAATCCGAAGGTGCTTCTCGAGGGAGTCGAACACATGAAAGTCCGGGGGCAAAGAATGGGGAATTTCCCGAAGACGATTTAGGAGAAATATTACGGGAAGAGTCTGAATTTGAGGCTAAGGGTGGATTGTCGCCCGTAGCAAAAAAAGGTGTCAAAAAGACAAAGCCTGTGTCGATGTCAAATCCCAACTATCTAAAACCGTTCAAATATGGCTGGAAGCGTGAGCTTGTTTTCCGGACAACGTTCACAGACGGTTGTCGGAACAGGGACGTCTACTATTACAACGCGGCTGGGAAAAAATTTCGGTCCATGCGTGAAATTACGGATAATTTGCATAACAACCGTGAATTATCGCAGGAAAATTTTACTTTTTGCAAGGAAACGCTAGGTTTGGATGATACTGATAAGGAAATTGTTCGGTTTGCGAAACAAGGTAACACAACGCCGCTTCAGATTAATCGTAAAATGACGTCGAAATTAATTAAGCCGAAAAAGGGATCGAAAGCTGATTCACCGCCTGCGGCATCACCTACAAAGGGCAAATCTGCGAAATCTGCTTCTTTTAAGGTGCGTTTTTATTGTTACACATTTAAAAAAATATTTAATGATAATTAAACCTCAGGTTAAAGCACCCGTTAAACCGGCGATAAAAAAGACGAAAAAGGAAGCTGAAGTTGAAGCTCCAGTTTGGAACTTTAACAAGAAAAAGATCAAGTAAGTCCACTATAGTTATTATTTGTTTATTTTGATTGCAAATTTTGTCTGGTTAGCTTATTTTGCAACTTTGTATTGGAATTAGTTTGAGACTCGTAACGTGTTAGGATGTTAACTCCATGATAAATGTCCTCCATCCTCTCACCTTACCAAAACATTGCAGTGTGGATAGGAAACCGTGCCAACCGTGTTCTATTCGGTGCGATGGTATGCAGGGACTCGTTCCTTGTCTGCAGTGTCGCATTTGCCTATGTCTCTATCACAATGAATGCGTCGGAATTGCTCCGCAGGTCAATGTCCAAGCCTATGTGTGCAAGGTATAAACATGTTCATCCAGGGAAAACTGGAATTGTTAAAAATCGCGAAATTCATTATTTTTGATGTGATTTTTAATTCAATTCAGTCTTACCTTGGTGGTACTCGGTTGCAGAAATCGTTTGTAGGATGAATTGTAAAGCTTTACAAGTTTGTATTCTGCAGAAATGTCAACTGGAACAAGAACCGAGCGACGGGAACAGCGGAACTAGTTTGTCAACAGAAACCAATCTCCCACAACCGAATACTCCTTTCACTCCTGCTCTTGCAAATACTGATAATACAAGCGCTCCCGAAAGGCAGAACGCGGATTTATCGCCGAATTCGAAATTGAAATTGAACAATAATAATACTGAGCAGAAGAGTTTGGTCGGTTCGCTCACTACGTGGTTTCCTCAAAGTTCGACTATACAAGTCAGTAATAATGAATCGGATTCACTTGCAAATATACCGCGCAGACCTCAGCTGGTTGAATACATTGGAAATAAGAAATACGTAGTTGTACCGAGGCACAATATTCTCTCAGTTCGATCGCCTGCGCAGGCCGATGTTGCAAGCACTGCGATATTTAAACAACGCGAAACAAATGTAGTTTCTGATTGTCCGCAAAGTCCAACCGAAAGTTCTGCTTGCAACCCATCTAAGGCAGAAACCCCGGATCGAGGAGAGTGTAAGCAGGAGGCCTTCACGCCATCGACCGCAGAAGACGAGTGAGTTCACTTTCTTACTTGTACCACTTTTTCTGCTGAGTTTATTATTGTCCTCCTTCGAGCCGAGACAAGTTCCAATACATAGTTTATATGATATTTATTTAATTTTGAGACTCCCAGTTTCTGTTTTAAAATTGTAACTGCCGTAAAATTGCTATGCTAATGGGAAACTCTCATTTGTTACAGGAAACCTGCAGAACCCGTCAAAACATCTAAGCCTTCTCCGCGTTCACAAGAAGGATCCGTAGCGAGATCAGGCCCTCCAAACTTTATGAATACATATATGCAAAATCTGCAGTATGGTTATACAACACTTTTTGGTGTGTTTCAGTACTTAAAAGTGCAGGATTTATTGCGTGCCGGCTGCGTGTGTACAATGTGGCGGGACATGTCTCGTTATCCAGCGTTATGGCGTACGGTGCGAATGAAAAATTCACAAATTCATAGCTTTGACGGTATGGCAAACGCCTTGCGCCAACATGGCACTGTACATCTTGATTTGAGAAAGATGTTGTTGCCTTCAAATGCCACTGATGATGATATTTGGCCTTCATTCACAAACGCAATTAAGAAAGTGGAAAGTTTGAGGCGTATTGAGTTATGTCGTTGCTTAGCTTCGGTTGTTGAAGACCTAGCTCGTAACAATCACAATCTTGAAGTTATTAATGCAGTCACAATCAAATGCGAAGGCATGACTTTTGAACCGTTCGAGAATCTGACCAATTTGGTCGATTTAAGATTGAAGTCAATGGCTGGTTTAACATTGTCATCGGATCTCTCCGCACTACAAGCACTTACGAAGCTGAAGCACCTGTCGATCACATCTATCAAGGATCTCAACAAGTTAAATATTGAAGTAATTGCCGATTTGGTAAATCTGGAAGTTTTAGATTTAGGTGAATGCACAGATTTCCCCAAACATTTTGGTACTGATATTCTTAGTAAACTAACAAAGCTCGAAAAATTACGGCTGGAAAAGGGTCAAGGGGATTGTCACACATTCGAAATTCTTGAGGCAGTAAAAGAATTACCTGGACTGCAGCAGCTCGAATTGGTCAATTTCGATATAAAGGCCGGTTTTGATAAGACGTTGGGTGCATGTTTTAATATTAAGAAGTTATTGATCATACCTACGTATATATCGCAATCTGCGACCACTAACCACATGGTTCTTGGTGGCGTTTTGCGCTTACAGAAAACACTGTCTCATTTCGTTTGGGGTGTGACTTTGGAGTTGTTAAGGGTTACGCAGTTATTTGTAAGTCAGCAGAGCAGCGAGCAGCCAGATAAAAAGGAATCAAATGAAACCAACAGCGAGAGTATTCCAGTGCTCAAACCCGTGCCTTTGCACGGCATTCCGCAGGCCGAGGCCGCGTCACCTTCAGACACGCCACAAGTGGAAATCTTGCCCTTGTCGAATTTGAAAAACCTGCTGCTACAGAATTTGCCCACAACCCGAGTGAAGATTGTTAAGATACCTTTCCATTCAACATGGAGGCAAAGTATAACGGACAGTGTGAATTAAATCACGTAGGCGGTCAACGTGTGAACTATGTTATGCATAGATTAATTTAATATTACAGATAAGCAAAATCATTATTAAATATTCTGCATTGATGGTAATTATTAGTTACATTACATACATGTTATGCTACTTATGCTAAGTTTCATTTATAATTAATTCGCTGCGAAAAGAAAAATACTTTGAAATCATTTCTATAGTGCTGTTTTGTACAGTGTATGTTAGTTTCCCGAAGTTTAAATGATTATTGAATATTTTTAAAGTGGAGTCTGCTGTAGAAAATTTAATCGTGTTTTATAAAATTTGGGATTCTTGTCGTTAAAATGGAAGACAGTAAAATAGAACTTTGAGAAATACCTTCATGTAGAAGAATCTGATCTTCTTTTATACAATTTGACTAAAGATGTAAATTATTAGTAATTTGCAAATATATCAATAAATATTTTATGATTAGATGATTTCTTGTATGCGAAAATTGTCTTACAAACAAATCAAATATAATAAATTAGTCTTCTTTATAGTGGTATACCGAATTGGATTTTATAAAGTTCATTTTAATATTGGGTTTTTGCTGCCCTTAGAAATACACTAGAATCATTTTAAAACCGTTACTAAAGACATTAGAAATGTTTTCGTTTTCATCTCTGCGCGTTTGTTTATGCTAATTTTTACCCACTTTTTTGATTGCACCCCGCTCACCTTGCCGCGTGTTGTGATACGTATGTGCGCGCGGTTTCCATCAAGTCGTAGTTACATATCTAGAATTTAGTTTGGTTCTGTTCGCCTGTGTGCACGCACGCATAAACCTCGTGGTTTGTTGTGTTTCTTAATTATTTAATTCGATTAATCGAGTTATTGTCGACCGACCATCGTTTGCGGCATGTGTAGTGATTTGTTAGTGATTAGTCGGGCGTTGAAAGTTCATAAACGCGTTCTAGCAAGTTGATTCATTGTTTGTACTGCAAATCTCTCTTACGGAACCTTCTGCGGGGTGCGGACAGCATATAGTCTTATCTTCGCGTGCTGTCGGTACAATGTAAACATTGTACATTAGTAACTGACGTATCCGTATTTTTTTAAATTAAACTTCTAAGAAATAAATATAAATTGTGAGAGACCAAAAATTGTCCATGGTTTCATTGCCTGCGATCCTACACACTGTCACCATCGGTGAAGATTAATGAGTAAGTAACATATCGAAGAATGAAGAAGCTTGTTTGGCTTAGTTTGTATTATTTGTTTGGGTAATTTTGTCAATAAATGAAACAATTGAAAAACAGTTCATATTTTCATTTTTAATCCGTTTTTGCCGCTTTCAGAATTAGTTTTAAAGATCATACTTGACTGCATCCGCTGTTGAGCAAGGCGGATACATAAATCTTGTTGTTTTTAAAAACTGAATAAAAGATAAACATATATAGAAGAAATGAATAACAATAATAAAAACACTCGGTGGTCGAGTGGGTACGTGCACCCGCTAGCATGCTAGTAGACACGGATCGAATTACAGGTGTAGAAAGCATTTTTCTCAAATATAAAAATAACAGGTGTAATTTGGGTTGCATATGTAAACTCCAATGAAATATTAGAGAATTGCAATACTAGTGAAGGCAATAAGAGAAGTAAGAAAGAAAGAAATGGAGAAGGAATAGCAGAGAAGAGTAGATGGCAGAAGGAAGAGAACAGAGAGTGGAGAAGAGGAGGGGAGATAGAAGACAGAGCAACAGGAGTGGATCAGATTTTTAAATTTTTTGGCTCGTGTCGTTAGACAGTCTAACTATTTCGATGCGTCCATTGCTCCCGGCCCATCCTACAGCTACGATGTCTCTGCGCTTCATCCCCAGGATTCTTAGGCATATCAACAATTTTTATGGTGGGGGATCACCCCCAGAGAGAGGGAACTCCTAATAAGGACAATCCTTATAAGGTCTTGTCCAAATATTTCTAAGTTTTAAGTCGCCTCAAGAGAGGTGACACTTAAAAATATTCTTACAAGTTCTGACCTGCAGCTGAAATGAAAGATGGAGTACACAAATCATACAGGTTACCTTAACAATTTCTATAGAGGGGATCATCCCCTGAAAGAGGGAACTCTTTCAGAAATGATAGAAGGCGTACATACAAATCAAATAAGTCAATATATCTTACTGTTTCTTTATTAACAACAGAATACAAGTTTACATTTTACATGTCAACCAAATAGGTGCCGCCATGTTGAAATAGGACTTACGACCTGCCAAGCCGCGCACATATAAGCAAGTAGAAGTTCAGTTCTACCGGAATAAGGAAATTAGCAAATAATTCATTTTCTACGTTATTGAAAATGAAAACAAATATACAGGGTGTTACAAATGAAAAATTTTATGTGAAAACAGAAAAATATTTTAACACTGCAAATATCATTCGTTTTTCACCCGAGACTCCGGGAAACTAATATACAGGGTGTCACAAAAAGAAAATTCAAAGTGCAATGAGGAAAACCCTAAAAACAACAGTTGTAGCAAAATTTTCACGGACACAAAAAAGAAGAATATACAGTTTTTGGAAACAAAAAACACTCAAAACTCCCAAATACAGGCGATTTTCTACGCAGTGTTAGGAAAACTAACATACATGGTGTTACAAAAAGAAAACTTTTGAAACTACAAAGGGAGTTAATATCCACAACACCAAGAGGGACATTTACAAATAAAAACAATATTTTAATACAAAATCTAAGATTTTTCCAAAAAATCATCGGAAATTGAGCAAAAAGATGCTATCAAAATTTTATTAATTGATGCCTGAACTGCATAAAGTAACCGTCGGATACAGCATCATCATAAATTGATAGAATATCCGGCGGAAAACATTCAAATCAGCTGACGGCAAGCGACGACGCGTGGCAATACAGTTGGTAGGGAGGATAAAAATAACTATTTTTTTGTAAATATTAAAATGTACGGAGACTATGAAAACGAAAAACTATTCAACGTACAAGATTTTACTAAAGAATGCAAATCGATTAAAAACATTCACGTGTTCATCGAAAAGATGGCCGAGCCGACGGCCGACGACAAAGTGATCGTGGTCGACCATATGAATATTACCAATTTTAATAATCTTCAGATACTTTTTTAAAACAGTGTTTGTAGTAATTAAATCATACATGCTATTTTCGGAAACGGAACTAAGAATTCTGATAAAAATGCTACATGCCATGTGTTTGTAATTTGCAAGATGATGCATGCAAATTTTATATCACTCATATAGAATAATCAATTTAAGTTAAACCGGCGTAACTTTCCGTAAAAAATTTAATTACACAGCAACCTACGCATTAAAGAGAGGATTTTATATCCTGGAATATATTCTATCAACTGAAAACACACGCACAGATTAATGGACACTTATTTCTTATTTAAGGAGACTCTAAACGCCACAAATCATTAAACAAAACAGGCACACATGCCCATTGCAAATATTTTGCTGATGATCGAAAATGTACACGACGATTAATCCAATTTAAACCTCAAAATGCACGGCGATTAGAGGGACACGTTCGCGGACCACGCGGTGAAACGACTGCCGTGAGCGCTTTGCTTAGCCAGGTACAAGGCTGGTACGTAGCGATAATACGCGTCAATCGAACAGAAAAAGTTGTTTATACACAAACGTACTGATAAACTCGTAGTTGAAAAGACCAAACTAAAATTTCACAATGTTGAAATAACACGTTGACATACACGAAAATTACTTTTACTTTCAATATTTCTCGGCATAAGAAAAGAATTTATTGGCTTTGGGATGTCATAAGATTGAGAAAAACAGGAATTTAATTTTAATTTTTGCGGGTTGCTGGTCTAATTCCTCCATCAAACCAATACTACCCGACGGAGAATTTACAGAAATACAAATATTTCACAAAAAACGGTGAGTAAATCACACTTTAATGCAAATTTTCGCGGGTTGCAGGTTTAATTCCTGCATCAACAAATACCACCCGACGGAGAATTTAATTCCGCATCTTTAGATGCTGTGCCGAAGTTATTGAGACGCTAATGCAAACTCGAAAAAAAAAACAAATATTTCATGAAAAACGGTGAGTAAATCGCGTTCAATGACTAAAAAGATGTACATATTACCAGCACGTGTCGATAAGTACAATACATACACTTAATTACATATACTACATACCAGTATTTCACGCGTTGCAACACTCAGCAGTAATGTTGACGAAAAAAAAAATATCTGCGTAATAAATGACATTGTTAAGGGGAAATGAGGGAAGAGGTATATTTGTTTATTTTATTTTAAATCAGGAGTCGGCCGGTGAAGCGACGATTCAAATTTGGCTCGTGACTCGCTCTAAAACAGAGAAGAGAACAACAGAGACAAAATAATGCAGAGTCTAAACATGCAATAAAACTTCTGCGCGAAGTGAAAAATACGAGTATGATATAAATGTGACACGAAAACGTGTTTATACACAATCGAATACTGATACTAAAAGAGATAGAAATGAATGGATTGTAAATTGGCAATCTACACCAAATTCTCTATAAGTTAATTGCAATTTCCATCGCAAAACACTAGAAATGTGCAAAATATTGCTGAAGTTTGGGGGTGTTTGTCGTAGTTTATCGTAGTAGTTTTTATGTACAACAACTAAGGCTCACTTAACACAAACATTTTTGTAAAGGTTACTTCACACTTTATATGTGTGTAGAACAATAAAATAATGCTTATTTCTATTTCAGTGCAGGAGTATTACGTTTATAACACTACACACTTTAAAATTGAAATAAATATTTATATTAGTTGTTATAATAATTTAATAAAAACAAAAGTATATTTTTATAATTTTTTCATATATTTTTATATATTTATATATAAATTTTTTATATTTATGTTTTATGTATTATATCTCGATATTATATGTTAGGTTTCATTGTGTCAACCTGCCAAAGCTTAGTTTACGCATTCGTGGTATGTAAAGCGTACTTTACACTTAATCAAAAATGTTTAAATATCGGTAAAGTTATATTTATTTGTATTTTAGTGTTACAATGTAATAATTATAACTCTGCACCTTCTAAAATATATATAAATAATTGTATAAATGATTGCGTTAACTTAGTACCGACAAAAGTTAAATTTTATTTATTATAGTTTTTAACTTATACTTTTTTACTTCCATGGCTTAGTTAACACAAACGTAGTTTGCAAAGATTACTTTACACTTCATATAAGTGTTGGAACGTAAAATATTACTTATTTGTATTTCAGTGCTACAAAGATACATTTATAATTTTACCCATCCTGAAACTAAAATAAATAATTACCTATATAACTTATCAAATTAAATTAAAGTAAAGTTTAAATCACGAAGTATAGATATAAGGAGTTCGAACGGTATAGGCTTTTTCGTCGTAGTCATGGTACACAATTATAAACACATCTCATAGTTCTCTTTTCTGCCACTGGTTGCGCTGGGAACCCGAGGGAACCGATCACGAAGTATAGATATAAGGAGTCCGAACGGTATAGGCTTTTTCGTTCTGTTCCCTAGATTTTGACCATTAATTTAACATGACGTTCGGTCTCCTGTGTATCTATACTTCGTGGTTTAAATATTTATGTTTGATGTATTATGTCACGAGATTATGCCGTTATCTCCAATTGTCTCAACCTACCAAGGCTTAGTTAGCACACACGAAGTGTGTAAAGCGTATTTTACACTTTATAAAACACGTTCAAACGTCAGTAAAGTTATATTTACATCTATTTCAGTGTTACAGTGATAGACAAAAACGGATTTCAAACTCCTAATCAACGGAAAATTCTCTATAAAATGTGCTAGTTAAATTGAAAATCTAAGATATAAAAAATAATTTGAAAAAAAATGGGCGAATAAGAGTCACGAGTCACTTCTACCCTCGTACGGTGCCCTGAACACGGGTCACTTCTACCGCTACCCTCATACGGTGCCATGAACATGAATCACATCTACCGCTGCCCTTGTACGGTGCCCTGAATACGTGCCCTCTTTTAAACTAAAATTGCAAGTGACCCTCGGATCCAAGAATATGAAAGATTGGAAAATTCTCTATCAGGTAAAAATTAAAAATAATTTTGTTTCGTGGGGTATATGCGATCAAAACTAAACTAAAATATACTGCATGCGATATAAGCAGATGGCAACGCGACACAAAAATGTTGATGATAAAAAATATAAAAATTGAGCAATTTTTAGTTGTTGCTAGTACCATCTATGAATTATACTGTAAATAAAAACAAACAAATTTTCAAAACTCTCCTAAAATTGAAAATGATAAACCTCTCAGTGAGATAAAACAAGAATTGTCTTGAGCAAATTTTTATTTATGAATTATTCTCGACCTCTCTTATTTTCCGAATTTTGAATACCTTATCTTATAGAGAATTTTCCAAAGATTTAGAATCTTTAATCCGAAATAATTGGAATTTAAAAAAACCGAGACAAAAATGGGATAGGGATGGTTTAGGCAGATTTCCGCTGAATTGCATCTTCAAGAACAACTCTTGCGCTTTTGTAAGCGAAGGAAAAACTAAACAGTTAATTTTGAGTTGTATCAGCCGAGTACGCAACTATCTTATATATTTGAAACACGCGGTGGAACGCGATAAATCAACGTAAATACAAACTAATGGAGAACACAGAAATTAAAATGAAAAATATAATTGAATTATAAACTTACCAATGCAGAACTCATGGACTCCAAGGCACGGCAAATTCTGCAAATAAACAAAGAAAACATATGTTAAAACAAAAACATTTAATACAATTTAGTAATATTATAATGACACAGCGGTGAAAAACAAACAATCTTGTTTAGTTACTTACACCAGCACGATGGGTCATCCTATGATAAATATCAAATCAACATGGGGGCGATACACTTAACCGGCATTTATGGACAATAAACGCGCAAACAGTAAATAACAATATTATAGTCGATTGATGATCGAATATAATGTGAATTTGGAAAGTATATGTCCGGACACACAATACGAGTCGCGTAAAATATTGGAACAACCAGATATCGGTACGAAACTGGCTGCAAACTGTGCAAGCAACAACGCGACAGTTTATGATAAGAAAGCAATAGATGCGCAAAGCCAGTGCGTCGATGGCATGCGATCTTGTGTGCAAATCGCTTTAGCACGTTACCTGCAAAACTAAACTAAGATGCGCCAACATGCGGCGTGAGGGGATCTCATGCGTTGCATTCTCGCGACGAATGCGATAAGAAAGTGGAAGTTGTGTTCAAAACAAACACAATTCTCGTGTCGAATGCTCGCGCTTGCTGATAGCTATAGAAATAAACAATACATGTCTATTTTACAATTTTTGTTAATGCTAGTGCCATCTATAAATAATGCAAATAGTAGTCCCGGAATTTGGATTAAAAAAATTAATAAAAATTTAAAATCCGAATTATGTAATTCACATTTGTTATGCTGAAAGATTGCACAGATTCTTAATCTGCTGATAATTCTCTATAAAAAAAGCTAGTTAAATTGGAACTCTATGTAATGAAAAAAATCATCCTCATTTGGTGCCCTAAATACGAGTCACTTCTACCGCTGCCCTCGTACGGTGCCCTGAATGGAAGTCACTTTCACCGCCATCCTGCTACGGTACGCCAAATGAGACTCAACTATACAATTGCAATTAATTGCAATATAACTAAATAAACAAAGAAAAATCAATGTTGTTGACATATTTAAGTTAATAAACTTGAATAGTGCATACCTTTTAAACTAAAAGCGATAACGACCAACAGATTGAAGAATATGAAAAATTGGAAAATTCTCGATAAGATAAAAATTTTTAAAAATTCTATTCTTTGGGTCCTAAAAAATTCATTTTTTTGATAAGATAAGAAATAAGCATTCGCTTCGCTTGAGATGACAACACATGCTAAGCAATTGTAAGCACATTCATGAATATAACAATCTATAAAACACTACGAAAATATGATAAGAAAGAACAACAAAAGGCCGCAATAAAATCAATCAATGCGGTTGAGAATATTATTTAATTTACTTACTGGTTAGTATTGTAAAACATCCATCGTAAACGGCATCCGTCGGCACCCCGCTCACGAACAAATACACTACATTTGCGTTTCGCGAACAATCTATAAGCGATAAATCATTAGCGAGACACAATAACCAAAAATAATCACTAAGAATACCGAAAGTAATACGCATTACAGATTTAAATCCTAAGAAAGGAGAATCGCGACGACCGCGTGCGAACCATCCGTCGGATACGGCGAAACTAATTTTTATTCCTGCAGCGTGAGCAAACAATACACGCAACGCCATCACACGGTCACGAATATAGTACAAAACTATATACTACTATCGTACACGAACCACCTGACAATAAGAGATAAGAACAACCCCGTCGAAATCCAGTGCGAAATTAAAATAGCGCAAACGGTTTGGAAATAATGCGCAATTTTAAATTTATTTATTGTGAGTAATATTTAAGATAGTAATAGTAAAAAAGATACACATTTAAGTTACATGTCTTCAGTGTCTGAATCAGAATCTGCTTCAACTGCTTGCTTTGCGCTTTTCTCAGCTTCGTGGAAAATATCAAGGGGTACCCTTTCATGTCGGCCATTTGTATCAGCAGACACCCAAGACAATTCCATTTCAAAGTTCTTGTCCTTCAGTTCATCATGAACGAGGTAAATGCTGAAATATTAATAGTAAATGAAAATTATACATACATCAAAAACACAATCTATACAAACATACATTCGTGCTGCTTCCTTTACCAACTCTTTTGTTGTCATATTCGCAAGCTTCAGCTTTTCAATTTCGGTTTTGGCAGCCTGTTTTGCTTTACCAGTGGCACATCCATGGTAACCCTATATCCAGAAAATGTAATACTCATACATAACATCAATACTACAATTTAAACTTACATAAGACACTCCAGATGGATCAATCATGTGCATGCTTGGCCCATCTGCTTCATTATAACTTCCAATAATAACACTTGATCCATAAGGCCTAACAGCACTGTACAAAGTGTATGCATGCATGTACATACTGACGCGGTCATTTAGGTATTTTAATGGTATCTGTACACCATACTGAGACCTGTAGTTGGCTGCCTCCTTCCTGGCAATTTCAGCCAATTGCCTTGCATCAGCAATTAGTCCAGACACTGCCTACATATATACAATAAAATTAATTCAAAATATTCACAAATATTTAAAACAATAACATGAATTTAAATTGAGACAATTACTTGGATATAAAAGAGGAAAAACATAGATAACACAAATTTGGTTAAAACATAGATACAAATAAATATACAAAAATATTACCATTCCAACATGTTTGTCAATATTGAAGATGCGTTTGTTTGCGCCGGGTTCATACAGCTTTGAAGTAACTAACTTCTCAACGGCAAAGACAACACCATCTTTCCCTCGGAGACCGATAGCGGTGCCACTGTTTTCGACCGCTTTAACCGCATACTCCACTTGGAAGACACGGCCATCCGGCGAAAATTGCGACGCGGACAAGTCGTACTATAAAATAAACTCTTATTAGTGGATAGAATTTCATTAACATGAAATAACTTACTCCTGTGCCGATTGAACTCATATTTTACTGGTCTCCTCACCTTAGAGTTACGAACTTTATGAATGATTTGCAGTTCGTAATTTGTTTTGAGGTTAAATGCCGCTTACTGGCAGAATGACTTGCTCACAAATGGTCGAATCATGTAAAGACGAGTTCACACTTTACATAATAAGATTCACGCATGCGCGTTCGTTTCTCGCCTAGTATGTTTATTTACTTCATAGGCGTTGTTTTAAACTAGTTTGTACATTTTTACAACTTATTTCTTTAAGACCTGATAATTTTTGCTTACGATTTGGGCGTGGTTATGAACAGTTGAAAGAGTTTTAAAATTGACTCAAATGTTTTTACATTTTCAAGTACAGCGCCATGATGATATTCCGATAATATTAAAATTGATATTCAAATTTAAAAAGTATTTTTATAAAAGAAATCACGCAATCTTCAATAATTAAATGAATTCCTTATTGGCTTTTAAACTCTTATCAACGACGTATAATTGAAAAATATTTAACTTCAAATAGTTGTATATCTATCAAATTATTCGCTCACTATTATAATGTGTACGTATTTGGTCCACTAATTTCAATTGACTGAAGTGCTTGCTCAAAGCAATGGTTAAAAGTAAACAGTTTTACTTTTGCAGTCAAAACAATTAAATTTTGGTTCCTTTGTCAATATTGAATGAAATAGTTCTGCTAAATATAAACAATTCCTATTAAAAATTAGTAGTTTCGCTCATCATCTTGATTAAACAAGATGTAAATTCTCAGTCTACTCATTTCTCATTCCCTTAAGAACTAATATCACAAAAAGTAAGTGGCAGTTAAATACGAATTTTGCGCAGCCACAATTCGAATATAAAATCAATCAGATTTGTATGATGACGAGTGCCAGATACATTTATAATGAGTCCGTAGAGAAATACAATGTCTTTACAGTTTCAGTCTTTGCTCCGTACAATTTACGACATCGTTCATCATCAGTTATAAGTCGCATTCAATAAAAATAATAAAATAAAATTCGTTGCTTAAAATACATAGACATCGTGACTACTTCGGGGCAACTAATAAGTTAGCCAGACAAATGCAAACAAATTCGTACAAAAACAAAAAAGAAATAAATATAAATAAAATTAACAAGGTGTTTGGGTTGATTGTTCGCATCAGACAAATAAAAATCATCAAATTATTATTTTTTTGCACGCAATTTTTATCATATAACATACAATCTTCTTTGCTCCACTTCATTGTCGTCGGTCTGCTCCGATCGCTTCTCGTTTGTCAACGTAATGATTGAAGTCCATAATCGACGTGCAAAGTTAACACCTAGTCGTATAGTTGAAACGCAAATTAACTACAATACATAAAAATAATTGTAGATACTCGAATGTTTTAAAATGATAGGTTTTTAATGTCTAGATCTATGAGTTTCGTCACGACGATCACGTTCACGATCTCTGTCGCGATCGCTTTCGCGTGCACGTCCGGATTCGGTGCGATCACGGTATCGTTCTTCATAATACCGCGACTTTGACGAATCGCCCGCTGCTTCAGCACCATCGGGTGGTGACTTATTTCTTGGTCGAGACACCCTAAAAATTTGGATGTGTTAATGTTAATTGACAAAGTTAAAATTATACATATTAAACTAAACATTAATAAATTTAAAAAATTATAATAACTTACCTGTCGTCAGTTTCCCGGTCACGATAGTCGCGCTCACGCTCTCTTTCACGTTCGCCACCTCGGCTTCGAGATCTATCCCTCTCCCTGTCACGTTCTCTGTAATTGTCGGCATAATAACGATCTCGGTCGCGATCCCTATCCCGATCGCGTTCCCGTTCCCGACTCCGCTCGCGATATCTCGAAGACGATCGCTCGCGTCTGCCACGACGATGTGACCTCTCTCGCGAGCGTGATCTATCCCTGCGACCAGAGCTATAACTCTTATCCTCGACGCCGCGTAGCGTGTCCTGTAAGGATGTAATTAAAATTTTACATCTGTCGTCGTTGGCCACCTTCGACTGTTTGATGAGAGAAATAGCCGTAACTAATGTTTCAATCGCACTGGCGTACTCGCCTGCGGCAGCGTCTGAAACTGCCCTCGCAATTGCCGAACTAGAAACCGTGCGGTTGCGTGCCATTATATCCTCAAATTCTTGATCGCTAATTGGTGGCATATCATTACGATGGTCGCTTTGCTGGGGACCACTTCCATACGGAGGCGCCATATTCGAAGGTGGACCGTAATGCCCGCCTGGAGGAGGACCATTATTCGGGCCCATTGGGCCACCATGAGGTCCATGCGGTCCCTGTTGCATGCCATGATGTGGAGGCATTCCTGGAGGACCTCCTTGCATAGGATGACCCATGTTTGGTGGTGGTCCACCTTGGTTGAAGAATGCTGGATTTACATGAGGTGCTGGGCCTTGATTCGGACCTTGAGGGGGCCCGTTCGGCGGACCGCCCATTGGTGGACCACGTGGTCCCATATTTGGGCCAGGTCCTTGCATGTTTGGTGGACCTTGCTGTGGGAAACCTTGGTTCATTGGTGGTCTATTCCAGTCGGGTCTTGGTGGTCCTTGCGGTGGGCCTTGGTTAGACATGCCTCGTGGAGGACCCTGCATTCCTTGAGGTGGTCCCTGGAACTTCATAATTTTGATATAGTAAATATACAATTGAGAAATAAATATTAAATTACCATAGGTCTCCCGGGCGGTCCTTGTGGGCCACCTGGACCTGGCGGTCGCATTGGGCCCATGTTTGGTCCGGGTCCATTCGGCCTAGGACCATTCCATTGAGGCTGTTGGAAGCGCATGTTGTTCTGATTCATCTGTGGAGGTCCATTAAACCCTGGAGGAGGGCCTTGCATGCGTGGGCCGTTCGGACCAGGCCCTTGCATGCCGTGGTTCATAGGACCACCGCGTGCCGGGGAGTTCATTTGCATTCGGGGCTGGTAGCTTTGATGGGGACCTGAGGAAATAGGATGGTTAGCTTGGCCGGGATGGGAGCCTCGAGGGCCGTTGTTATTAGGTGGAGTGGGACGAGTTTTTGACTGACTTTCAAATGTACTTAATGCCTGTTTTGTTGGCAAAGTTACAACGGGATTCTGGTTATGTATTTGAAGTTTAGGAAGGTTGTCCATGCACATTCGCATGCTATTTTCCGACCCCATCGAAATAACACAAAAGCCTTTGGATTGCCCATTCGGCCGATGCTCAAAGAACTTTACTTCATTGAAATCCGACACTCCAATCTCGCGGACTGCATTTATAATATCTTGATCAGTAGTCCACTAAAATTACAATAATTTTGTCAAGGTTACAACTTAATTTATAAACAAACAAATAAAGCGCATACCCATGACAGATTTCCAACATAAAGCTGATGCCTTCTTCCCAGTGTATTTGGCGTAATATTGTTACCTTGTGATGGATACACAGAGCCATTGGTGTCCTCAGGGTTTGTATTTGATGTTGGCTGTTGTGAATCTAACCCATCCGAGTTGTTGCCGCCCGCGGCCGGCGTGGATATCACATCGTCGTACAAATCTACATTGTCGCCAGCGAATTCATCCTAAAAGCAAACATCGAGTTACTGAACCGGCGATTGATTCGGTGCTTGCTAACACAAAACATGCGACAACTACCGCGAGAAATATATAACTAACAGACGTGCAATTACTGAATTCAAATACAACTAAAAAGAAAGAGACGTAAATTCAATTACCTGCACGAAATCTTGATCTATATCGTCGGCGTATAAATCTATGTCGTTGTCAGCCATTCTGGCGGCACTACACAACGCACGCAAACATCAATATGGCTTCGCCCGCTTTGCACGGCGGCGAGGACGCATAATTTAGTTCGTGAGAAGTCCACCCGCCGCGCTACTACAGTTGTCGTTTCCCACCACCCTCTTTTTCGTGTGGCGCAATCTTCAAATTATTTCGATGTGTAGTATATTCAACAATTAAGAATTATAATACAACGTAATATTTATTTATTTAACTATCGTTTTAAGACAAATAAATATTCTTCGCGTAGAAAACGCGCGCACAAATATGTTGATAGTGCACTTCTACAATGTGCAAGTTGGTGGCCACCCTCACGCGCATGCGCACTGAGTTGAATAATGCAACAATGCAACATGTGCAAATTGATTACGTTTGAAAAAATTTATAATACCCCTTATTATATTAAATTAACACGTCATCCAATATACACAATCATGAATATGAATATGTTGTACCATTTATAATATTTAAATAAAAGCATCATAAACACTGAGGATTTAATAAAGGAATTGAAAAAAATACATTTTCTTACAATACTACTATATATTTACAATAAAACGCTATTATTTAGACATCAGATTCTTGAACATAAGTCTTAACAAGATTTATACTTACAACAAAATGAAATTGAACACAATTCATTTTGCCATAGATTGTAATATATCTCATTAATTAATAATTAAATATATATTTTATACCTCTTTTACTGCGTGTGTGATGATTTCTCACTCTACAATATAATTTTGTTGTTAGTTCGAATAATCTCAAATGAAACAAATACATTCAACCAGATATTGCGTTACACCGCATGATGAAATGGCGAAAACTTCCACATTTCGTCCACCCTCAACTCGAATACAACAGAAGGACGATTTCTGCACGCATCGATTCAATTTTGTGGTGTTTCTGGTTTAGTGCCTATAATGTAGAAACTCGCAACTCGCCGATGGTCATGATCAAATAATAGATATAAATAAAACGTGAATGTATGCGACGATGTGTGTATAATGTAAGATGCAAAATGCGTTTTCTTTTTATGTATTTCTTGGTATGTTAATCGTTGTTTTGCGTTTCCTCATGTATTTATTTTCATGTTCTTTCATTTGCTGCATGGTCCAAATTCTAATATACATTATACTTTGTAATTTAATACTTAATTAATAAATATTTCATATTATCGGTAATAGTAATAACATAGATAACTTTGCATTAAGTTTCGCTAATCGATTTCAAGAGTATAATGTACATGATAATGACGATGGTTTTTTTGATTTAGCTTTTTTTGCAAAATGGACCACACAATATTTATCAAGTATATATCAAACAAATCAAACACTGTCTTTGCAATCAAAAGCAGTCATAAACACATCCGCAGGCATTGTATAACTCGAAATGATCGTAAATTAACTTAAAGGTTGTTTAATGCTGATGTGCGGATGTGTTCATTTTCACCTTTGATCAGTGTGTAATGTATCTTTTGCAACGCAATTACTGAAACACGAATTCAGCTCGAATCAATTCGAGTTTACTGCTGTTCTCGGTGTGTAGTTTGTTTTTGTGCAAGGAAGGAGATATGCAAGGTTATTCTGTACAATTAATTAAATTGATAAAAATTAATTACTACAACGCAACGAAACATCCGCAAAATTGCATATAAAGATCCTGGTCACGCACAGGTAACGCTTTCGAAATATTCTACTCAAAAATGTTTTAATTTTGTGTTCACGCGTTGTTAATGAACAACTCGTTTATGTAATGCTCTAATTATATGCATGTATAAACACGTAATATTTATAAATATATCCTACCGCTGTCCAAGAGATAATATGAGTCTTTAAATTGTTTTCTTCTTCTTCATTTAATACGCGTTAAGTTTCATTTTCTTTTATATAATGGACAGAAGACTTAAGGTTAGAAAGTATTGCGGGCGCCGTATGTGTGTTCAATGTTTGTGTTGCAGTTTTTTTGTCGTTCGATATGATGAATAATACTGAAGAAAATCAACTGAACGAGTATCAAACTAAATGACTGTACCAGCAACAACGCTTCCCAGCAAAGCATCCAGCGCACATCAGATTACTTTGCTCAGATGGTTGTTATAGCTAAGAATTTCGCAAGTCAGCAAATTTAAAAATAACCAATTAAAAATTACACGTTAAAATTTTCAGTATAAAACAAATAATTAAAGAAATTACAAATCGTACTACATTTATTCGATACTAGAATATAGTTCTCGCTTTCGACGTTAGCGTTAATGGTTGACCGTGAAGTCGATGATCCAAAGCGATGAGATGATGATGTCGCCGACAACAGAATGGATATGATGATTAGAACAACATTCCTCCTCATAAAGATGATCCAGCTCCGTGGTTGGCATGATGCGCTAGCTCTACGATGAATTATTGTAATTTTTGGTATCGACATTTGACAATAAATGTTTTCACTGATACTGATGAAATCAAAAATATGTTATGCATCGTACTCTCTCCGTGTTGAAATGTAGTACTGAAAACACACTCTAGTCTGGCACATGAGTATATATACTTATATAAGATATTATTATACACTAAATGATATCACAACATTATGGAAACTTTTCAGTATTCGGTTTCGCTTGTCTTCATCGTACTCGGTTCTCTTTAGATTGAAGTTAGTATGCAATACGCCTGCACTGCTATCTTTTTTCTTTTGTTTTCTTTTACACAGACATGTATACACACCGAACAATTGGCATACAATATTCGCGCGACGTTTCCAACTCCTTAATATTTGTTTTTTAGGTATTTTTGTATTTCTTGCTTTTTGCTTGATTTAATATTACGAGTTTTAAATACACAAAGTCTTCCTCCTAAACGTTAATTCGTCAAATTTCAGTGCAGTCACCCATTTGTTTTGTTTCTTTCATTTATATACGATTATTATTAATTGTTTCCTTTTTTAAGTTATTGTTGCTTTGATGATTTTGAATCGGCTGTTTAATATTCAATAAGCTAGGAGCAATTATGTGACTCTTGACAGTTGTTTCCTTGGCCGTTCCGTCGACGTCCCAATCTTCTTAAAGTATAGTACACGAGGCAGAGCAACAACTACTATTACCGCCTTTACTTTTTTGTCGTTGATCTGCAATCAAAACTGAATTAGTACATCAATCCCAACAAAACAAAAGCATACCGTTTACCTTGTGAATTAGGCTCAGGTAAATTTTCTCTAGGAACCAAATGCATGACTGTCGTTTTGCCGTACGGTAAGCCCAATGCGCCTAACGTGACGTTGCTGTGAAGGAAGCGACCCTGGTAAATGAGCCGTAGGATCTCTGCTTTCGCCACAGCTTCCTGACGCCAATCTAAACACAAAAACCCAACAAAATAGTAAAACTTAAAAACCCTTGCTTCGCATAAATATTGACCTAAATATAATTCTTAACTTTAATCTAATAGAACAAAGAATACAAATGCTCACACAACGAGGACAAACAAGACTCAACATAATTTGATAAGTCGCTTTTAATTAAATTATCTGTTTCTGTCTATGAGCCTAGTTTACAGCGTGCAGTATATAGTATTACACATAGCAACTTTCTATTTCAACGCTTAAAAAATACGGAAATAAAATAAAAGCATTTTTACTAATACAGAAATGAAAGTAAGTACACAAGTAGGAACATTCATCAATTTTCAGTGGAAGTGAACATGTATAAACGAGAAGAAGTGTAGTTTGCGAAAGAAAAATATTACCTTCGGGCCAATTTTCGAAAACATGTTGCGCAATGTCCCCCGCCGACTCGCTGGGACTGAACAAGAACTCCTTCGTCTTGCCACTGACCAGAATGAGTCTCAAGTTGATCTGCAACAAAGAATAAAAAATTAAGTTTCGCTTTCACTCGCTACTGCTGCCGTCTGCCAGCTTGTACATACCACCAGCAACATACACATATTCGCTAAAAAAAACGCCGCAGAAATGTATTCGTATTTGGTTTCGTGTCGGCGTCGCATTGGACTCCTTTTACAAGCGGGGCGACGTTCCACTCGAATAAAATATTTACAACACAAGAAAAAACCTTGCGTGCTTCCTCCTTTGCTTCTATTAACTTTGCGCCATTCGGCACGGTTGCACCACTAGCACAAAACGTGTTTCCGTCTGCCAATCGATATGAGCACCACTATCAAACTGTGTCATGATAAACCCAACACCCACCATATAAAATTCATTGCGATGAGTACGTGTGATAACCGCCGCAAACGTTGAAATTGTTTTTCTCTATATTCATTAATTGTTAATACTTGTAATTACATTGCAATAATTCATCGAACAATGCCTCACGTAGTCGTAACGTCATCCTGTTACTATAATTCAATTCTTATTAAATTATTGCGCGCGTGTAATGATGAAATTCAGCGATCCGAGTTTGTAGTTTATTGCCTCATTGTAATTGATCATTAAAAAAAGGAATATCGCTTTAATTAGCAATTGCACATTGTGACCCCACCGCAAATTATTTTCACTTCTTCGTTTGATCTCAACCACAAAAAAATAAATAATACATATTCACATTATGAATTGTGTGATGTCACTAATTCAATAATTATACATTATGGCGGCGATTCTTAATTGAGATTAATTAAACTATTAAATCCATCATGACCGCATTCACTATGAGCATTTTACGAACACTTAAATGGTTTAATTGTCGAATAAAACGTTGTTGCTCTTGTGCATGGTGTGCGGCTATCCGTGAACGGACAAAAATATCCGTAATTGCTAGTCGACGACGAGACTAGAATAGCATCATCATGCATGCTGCGGCAATAATTACAAAAACCCAAATAACGCGTAGATATGCATAATTTATAAACATCCATACATTGCTTATTTATTTTATCATTCCGAAGTACACACTTCCTTTACAAAGCATCGTCGTCGATCGTGCACATACACTCACCTCATTAATATTTCACCGCGCGCAACTTCCTAATGGATATTCGACTACGAGAGAGAATACGCTGAGGTACGCGCATCGCATTCGATATGTACTTAGTATAGTTTTCACCGGCACGAACAGTTTTAGTAACATGACGTCGAGAGATTCTTGGTACATTAATTCCGGTGCGCGACCGAAAACTACTTTTGGTAGATAAAAGTAAAAACGCAATTTCGAATTGCTTTTTCTCGTGCGAGCTTTCTTGCGTTTCAACATCGAAACGTTGCCACTTTCTAATGTCGTGTCCTTTAGTGTCGCTACGATTATCTGCAAGGTTTCATTCGCTAAACGACGAAAGTTGTTAAAGTTGCTAAAAATATCTCGCGACGACAACAGCAACAACTTGAAGTTACGTTTTTATCTTTTATACCAAAAATAAAATAAAACACGACGCAGCACGTAGGAGGCTTTAGAATTTCGTTGCTGTAGTTGTATCTAGAATGTGGAAATTACCACCTATAACAATTTGCTTAATAATGGACATTTGCTTCGGGTCAGAATTCGTGTCAATTAAATGGGAATTTGACTTAACTGTCGGCTTAGAGAGAAAAGCTGTATATATTGTTGGTTCGCGTGCGCTGCGAATGTAAATCCAAAAAAACGAAAATGCAAAAATTCACTCGAAATTTCCCCCGCAGCTAATTCATACCAACATTCCGGCAGTGAATGAAACAACTCAAAATTACTACATTCGACCCAAAAAAAGAATTCCCACACAAATTCCCAGGCACAAATTTTAACTTAACAAATTTCCAAAAAAACAAAAATCAATATACATACATCAAAAAACACATAAACGAAAAGTGTTTATAGACACTCTCAATACTTGTAAGTAAGTGGTTTTCCCGAGGCAATCATCAGCAAAATATAGCACTACTGTCTCCCAAACAAAGAAACCCGGGAAACGCGCTAAATTTAAACTGAAATATGAATAACTGTAAGAGTAATCGTTGCGTGCATTTTTCGGCCACGATTACGCATCGCGTTGCCGCACTAATTACGCACACTTACACATCGTTTTCGCACACAATTCAGTGCGTTGAACTTGGCAGCAACATAAGTTCTTTGTAAGTAATTTCTAAACGTTTCATTGTCCTCTTGCGGTCGTTAAAGCGTGCATCATTTGCCATCATTTTTCCTTCCCAAATTAATATAGCTGTAACTTGTTATACGCGAGTGTATAATCTTGTAATCTCGCATATGTAAATTTTTTGACGCGCCCAATTTAATCAACACACTAATCATTATAATCTTCACGTATAGTGTGTATTTGCAGATGATGATGAAAAAAAATGGCGATTGCTTGTAGCCGTCGACAATGTGCTGCATTCCAGGCAACAAACGGCAGTAGCAAATTTCCAGGTAGGCGGTATTCATCAAGCAAACGCGAAACCTGAACATAAACGTCGAAATAAGCAGCGCGCGCGCGTTCAACTGCCGCGCGTATACGTTCCTGTTTGTTCGCATGCACAATGTTCAACAATGACATCTGGTTAAACAATGTATCCTTTCATGTCTTCACTCCTAAATATCCTTGTAAATACGTTTTATTAGTGAAGATACCAGAGTGAGGCAGAGCAAGTTGTGCGTGTGTGCCGTTACTTGACGCGACGCGGCAACTCTTGTGTCGTATTTATTAAATGTTGGTCTCGTTGCTAACACAACAAACAGTAGTCTCGTAACGAGACAAGGCAACGAACGGAGGATATGCTAGACTCTGCAGATACCGACAAACATTTCAGGCAACCGACGATGACAACGAAGTTGTCGGCATTTATGGTTCACCGTGCGCCGCGCGCATTGTTAAATTTGATTAAAAGCACAAGACAACAACTTCAGCATCAAAGACGAACACAGCGCGATACACACGTTAACGTAAATGAAGGTACATATCCCAAGTTGATTGCCAATTTGTCAATAAATTGATGACATTTATCTTTTTCGCTTCATCACACACGAATGTAATAATTCAAAATACGACACGCAATGTGAACGACAATAATTAATAGAATTCGATAGAACACGTTAATTAACAAACAATAGAACGCACGTAGCGCAATTATGTTGTTCAAATATGCAAGGAACAGCACGCGGACGAAATGCAATTGAATGAGCACGAAACGGCTGCCGGTTGTTAAACAATTCAATGAAAACAAATAACCCACAGCAGACGCAATCGCGAAATTAGTCTCGCGTTGGCCAGACGTTATTTACAAATTAAATTAAAATTATAATAACAATAATAAATACCCGGACCTCAAATGTTCGCAGCTCAAAGATGTCAATTGGTGCATACGCGCACTTTCACTTTTGACCTGACAAACTGCACCAACAATCAAATCAAACGTTGCCACATGCATTATATTATATTTTATTCTCATGGCTCGTTAGGCCATTTAGAAATGGTTTCATCAAGACAAAACACAAATACACACATATAATTTTCAATAAGAAATTTATTTCTTAGACATTGTAATTTTATTTTATCTTTAAAAACGAATAATATGATAAAATAAAATTTTATGGACATGTTATTAATACCACTCGTCATTTTTTTTATCTTTATGCCGTAAAAACCCAGTTTATAATTCCACTGAGAGAATACATCTCGTACATCGGATTGGGAGGTTTGCCGAAATGAAATATTTAACAAATCAATAATCATGAGTTGCGTAATATGCAGAAAAATAAATATTACATCAACAAAAATATTCTACATACATTTTAATGAGTGGGTGTCTAAAAAGAACAGACATATCTACAACAATCCAAGGTTAAAGTTTAAAGAAAAAACGCTATTTTCGAAAGCCAGTTATTTATAGAAATCATTGTAATATTCCATAATTTAACAATAGCGATTTAATTTCGATATACGCCACAGGTTTAATTATTTCCAGACTGTCACAAACTGCAACGAATCAATTAATAGTAAAATAAAAATAGACATTGACATAAAACCGCGCTGAAATTCTATTATTATATTCTTGTGTGTGCGAGATGAATAAAAGTCTGATTTGGAACGTAGGAGGGCAAACGTGGAGGGTTGCAAAGCTGAAAAACGTCCGTCACATTCGTTAATGTCGCCGGCGTTATAACGCGCCGGGTGCCAATGCCCTTAATATTATCAGAAGTTCGCCTCGCGACCAACCGACCGAGGGGAGAAGAAGATCTACGGTTGTGCGGCAACCAACGAATTCAATGCGCAATTACAAATCTTCCCTCTTCGCAATCGTCCCGCGTGTCCTCATAGAACGTGTTTGCCAACGTGCAGTGCGCGCGCTAACGAAATCAACGCTATTGCTCTCACGCGATGTGACGTTTCGCTATTCACCCACTTCGTCCTCATCATCGACATTCATAATATCCAACCACCCCTCTCTCAAGGGGGGCAAAGCGCGCGCAGAACCGCAGACATCGCTCGGAGTAGAAAATAGCTTCGCAAAGTAAGTAAAAATAAACATTATTGACCCATTCACTATTTTCATAAAAGTTCACATCTGCGGCACCATCGAGCAAAACGCAAATGACTTTAGACTGATGAAAATTAAGCAAGTGTAATAAGATTGTATAATAGCAAGGCACAAATGCGCCCGTTATATTCCCTTCGGCGTGTACGCGCGCATTTCTGCGGTTTCCAACTAACTCGGTTTTGTAACCGGGCATCATCATCATCATGAGGAAACCAGGTCAAGACGGTACACGCAGCTCACATCTCTCGGCTGCATTATGTTTCAGTTCTCTTGTGATCACCTTAAAAGCATTCGCATTCACGTGCGGCACAAAGAGACACATATTCCGCGAACGTATCATACTTTCAGCAACTTTTCACGTTTCTAGTCGATCGTACCAGCTGCGCGTAGTGCGT